GGATACAATACTTCTAAAATAATGTAACAACTAGTACGACACCCGTGTACTATATGGGTTGTTTGAAAAAAAAAATATAAAACATAAAATAATAGAAAAAACACATATTGTTGTATATAACTATTTCAACTCTTTAAAATATATTAGAAAGATATGTAATATTCTATAACTATTTTAATGTATTTTTATAGATATTCTAAAAAGATTTAAGTAATTTATTTACCATGGTGTTCATCAAAATTTGTTTTATTTTTATTTCAACTCTTTAAAATATATTAGAAAGATCATGTAATATTCTATAACTATTTTGTATTTTTATAGATATTCAAAAAAGATTTAAATAATTTATTTACCATGGTTGGATTGAAAAGATATAATGAAGTGCTATATATGTGTCCAATTTATACGGCATATAAGATAAAAATCCTGTTTATTTTGGAGTTAGAGGATTTACACGGCATATAAGAATCCTATCTATTTAGAGTTGGAGGGATTAAGCAAAAATCCTATTTATTAAGTATTTTATTTTAAACAATTAGGGAATGTATTCGAACCAAAAGCCGAAACATGTAATGTTGCCAAGTAAGCTTCCAAAGCATGCAGGCAGCCATTTAGGCTCAGCACGTTTTCAAGTTTTCAAATTATATCAAAATTTATTTTATTTTTATTTCAACTCTTCAAAATATATTAGAAAGATCATGTAATATTCTACAATGCCCAAACCAATTGTGATTAGACTTTTTTTGACCTTATTTTCTTTTCGTGTGTGATCGATACCAATTCTAGATTACGAATAACCTTCCTCGAGAGATCGACCTGAGGTCGGGATTCATTCCGCACTCGATAAAAATATAATTTGCCTCAACAATTTTGGTGTCGTTTTCAGGGAAGACATGTAGGATATTTAGTTTTGGTGTTGATATTAACTCTTGTTTCTTTTTATTTTGTGATTTTTTCTAGTTTCTGCTATTTTTCTTGTGCCTTTTGTTTGTATTTTTCTTGTCATTTTCCGTGGCTTCGTGTGGCTATTGTGTTCTTCTGTGCAGGACATTTGACTGAAGAGCTCAATGAATCCAAGCTATCTATCTCCCCCCTCATACGAGTATTATTGGGATGATGGGCGTAGCTACAACATGGGATTAAATGAGTTTCACTTGTTTCCTCCCAATTATGATGGTCAGGCAGTCTCGTATCGTTTCGAGCCGCAATGAGATCTAATCCCGATAGAGCAGTTTTATGAGTTTTGCGAGGATTTCTTGGAGTGTAGTGCAAAGCTTGACTGAATTCTTGCTATTGTGATAGCTCGAGAGGAGAACACTGAAGCCATATATGTTTGATTGTGTTCCCAATAGAAAAATCTAGCGGAGTCTATTCAAGCTATAGAAGAGCAAACCTATAATCCTTTTCCCAAGCTTGTTACTCAGATTGTCAATTTCATATATGAGAGTAAGCCCCGAGTAGAAACTTTGGAGTATAGCGAAAGACTCGACCTCGTCCTTGCCTGTGTAATAGCCTAAGTAACTCGAGATGAGAAGATTGAGACTAGATGCGCTTGGTTGAGCGTTATATTGAAGGTCCTAACTGAGCGAATTCAATCCACACAAATCGGTGAGCCGATGATCTCATTCCGTTGGTGCCCAAACTTGTGATTCAATGCATATGGGCGAGCCTGATGAAGAGGAAGACGCGCGCTCTCACTTGACGGGAGTGATACACCGGTGGAGGAGATTATTGAGTCTAGTCGGGAAGTCCTTGAATTTAGATTTTATCAAGTTTCTACTTGCACTATCAAGTTATAGAGTTCATCATTTGAGCCGTCATCTTATGTACCATTGAGAAGGCTGAATTTAGCTGGACTTGGTCCATAGAGGTTTTCGTATTTTCGAAGGTGAACTATGGACTTTGATGCGAAAGGCACTAGGTCACTTCTGGATGATTATCAATGCCCGTGCTCGTTTATTCAAGAACATAGCCATGTGAGCCCACTGTGCCCGTCTTCATGTCACACTTCCTATGCTTCCACTTTTAGAGAATACGAAGGCGTGACATGATTGTCATTTCTTTTTGGATCCTGACTGATTTTGACATTGGTTTCGTCATTAAACAAGCGTTTCTTGGGAGACAACCCAAGTTTTATTCACTACTATCTTACTTTCTTTTCTTTTATGCTTTTTAGATTTTTCTTTTGATTAAATTGCAGTGAAGATGAACTTATATTCAGAGGAGTTTCTTCAGACTCACCTTTGATTCGTCCTGTAATATAATTAATCTTAATTGGCTTGTTTTGGGTGGAGTTTTGTGGTATTGAGTACTCCCTTTTCTCTATGTGAGAAGAGGTTGTTTACTTCATGTTTGGATATAAAAATTTTAGGTTTTGTTGGATTATTTGGCTTGGTTTGGTTAATTTTGAAAAAAGTAGTGTGATTAGTTGTTAGTGAGTATATTAAAATAATATTTAAAATAAAATAATTAAAATTGATTTGATGTAAAAGTAGGAGAGAGATGATTTGAAGTAATGGTTAGTTAAAATAATGTGAGTGGATGAATAGTGAATTAAAGTTGGTGTGCAGTGTATGAATGATTGATTGATATTATTCAATTATCTATATATATATATATAAAGAGGTTGTTGGAAAAATACATTAATAGAAAGTTTGACCAAATAAATATAATGTTTGACTTACTATTAATGGAAAGTTAAAAAAAAAATACATGTGAATCTTTAGTAACAAAATCTGAATCCTATTTTTTTGGTAACTAATTTAGAGATTTTAATGGCAAAATTTGAATTCCATTTTTTTCGTATCATGTTTTAAATTTTTTACCAAAATTTAAATCATATATTTTTTGGTAACAAATTTGGAGATTCTTATGCAAAAAATGTGTCAATTATTTAAGAAAACAATTCTAAATACAAATTAACTTAAAAACCGTACAAATTGTATACAAATTTTGGAAACAAATAGTTGTATAATTCTTAACCAATTCTTCCAATCTTATTGAATAATTATTTCTTTAAAAAAAAGTGTGTAAATTGGATAAAACCACGTGCAATTTTTATTTTAGAATAAAACTGATATTTGGACGGGATGTACATTCAAAATTGTATCCACATTTTTTGGTAACAAAAGCGGTTCATCTTTGATATATAAAAATTAAAAAAATCTTAAAATATCCTTAAATATTTAACTTATTTGAGATCAAGATTGGTTAGGTCTTTTTAATATTAGTTATGATTTAAAAGAAAAAAACATTATACAAATTTCACTCTAAATCTCACATTCACACTTAAGATTTCATAGTATTCATCTGAAATTTGATCATCTTAAAAGTCTCAAACCTTAAAAAAATCTTAAAGTGGCACTCAAAATTCTAAACGAATACATATTATATACCTATATCGTCAATTTATAATTATTATTTAATATTATTTACTCGTGCATCGCACGGGCTACATCCTAGTATTAATAATATTGATGATAGTGTGACTGAATTAAAATTAAGTTAAAAAAAGTAGTTGAGTTAAAATATTAGAATTTTTTTGAAAATTCTTGTATGTAAATATACCCTAATTTCCTGTTAGCTTGGTGATAAGTAAATCCAAGTAGTCTCCTTTCCCCTTGGGTTATAAATTGTAGTTGTACATTTGTACTTGCTTGTTTTGTTGAAATTAAATGTCGNCAAAAAAAAAAAAAAATGTCAATCCTTTTGGGAAAAAAAAAAAGAAAAGAAAAAGTATTAGTCTATTTTTTAACAGTGGACTACTATACTCCTGTGGCCATTGGTGTAGCCTTACTAGTGTTAATAATAATAGTCTCTCATGATTCTATGACCTTTTCATCGTCTCCAACTTCCCATGCACTTTCATTCAATTCACAACAAAACAAAAGGCTTTGAGATATTCCAAAAAGTAACATATATTTACCCTTTTACATCTGATATTCNTTTTTTCAGCCTGTTTAGCAGCACATGTTTAAACATCTACAACTTATCTGAATAGGCCCAGAAAGTTTTGCTGCCTCTATCCCAAAATAAGACGCTCTTTCAAGTTTCATCAGATTGGTACAATGTGTTTATAGGATATTTGATGATTTATGTTTTACTAAATGGGAAATTAGTTAATTAGTGCATCACATCTAGAGAAGGATTGAAATATATATATATATATATATGGCTGAAATAAAATAAAATCACAATTTTTTTTTCAATTTCAATTTTAATATGATTTTATCAACATGTTAAAACATAATAAAACTTGTTTTCTTCGAATAAGGTTAAAATTAATGAATTAGAAAAACTTAATGTTATGTTACCTTTTTAACAAAAATACATACTTTCATATTAAAATATTATATTTTAATTAATTACATAAATAAAAATATAATAATTATAAAAAAATGTATATATTCTCTTTAAAAAAAAATACAATAAGTCTACTCATTTACCGGAGTCACAAATAGTTTGTATTTTCCTTTTCAATGAGTATTTTAAATTTTGAAAACATGGAAAAGACAATAGTTTTCATTAGGTATGGACCGTTGTTTCAAAAATTGGACCGCACCAATTGGTTCAACAGAGAACAGATCACTTAAAAAGCCGATCACCATTTTTATTTTTAGTTGTTTTTTGTAGTAAATAATTTTAATATTTTAAATATATTTTTAATATAAAAAGACATATTTAAATATTTTAGATATACATAAATTATATCAACTTATTAATATATTTACATGCTTTAGATTATCTACATATTTAATTAATGATATCTTCTCAAATGATTTACTATTTGTAAATCCATAAAATATTTAAAAATTATTAATAAATAGATAACGCTACACCCGTAAAACTAATAATTTTACGTTTTATTTTGGTAAGGACAAAGAAAAAATTTGAAGGTCTCATTTAGTCAATTCCAATCATCAAAGACTTTTCCACTCGAGCTAAATCAAGATTTCTTTTCCGAGTGGGTCCTTCCCATCATCATCACTTTGTTCAGATTTCTAAGTTCTAAACCCCACCACAGCAACAACAAAGCTCCATTTATTCATTCATGGCGTTCACTTTCATTTTTCTTCACAAATCATTTCCCATTTTTCTTTTTCATTTATAAGGGCTTAAAAAAGACTCGACCTTTCGGTCCCAACCACAACAAAGCTTATAAATTTCATCTGCAAACTACTGTCAAAATCGAAATAACACTTTCTGAAATGCAAGAACAGGGGACGGGCTTGAACGCCGACTACGGTGGACTCGGAGGGCAAGTGATCGGCGACCACGTGTTTTCCGGGGAGCACCACCAGCTGAAGGCGGAGATGGCCACCCACCCGCTGATCGAGCAGCTGCTGTCGGCACACGTGGCGTGCCTGCGTGTGGCCACGCCGATCGATCAGCTTCCCCTTATCGACGCCCAACTGTCTCACTCTCACCATCTCTTGCGCCTTTATGCCCAAAACAAAACCCATTCAATCTCTCAACAACAAAGCCAACAGCTTGACAGCTTCTTGGTAAGTTTCTCTATGAACCCTCCTTTTTTTTTCGCAGAAAAATATAATCTTTTTACCTTAATTATTATTTTTATTTTTCTTGTTGGTTGCATAAATTTTGTGGGGTTTTCTTTTTCTTTTCTTTTTGGAACTTTATGTGGATTTGATTTTTTTGAGGTGGTCCTGTGTGCATTAATGAATGGAAAACAGGCACAGTATCTGCTGGTTTTGTGCTCATTCAGAGAGAAATTGCATCAGCATGTCAGAGTNTTAATTAATCCTTTGGTGTTGGTGCCATAAAAATGTATGTGTTGGTAGTGAAATGTTATTCCTAAACATTTCTAGTTCGTTAAACTCATTTTCATAAGTATAATAAATTTTCATTAAAAAAAATGATTGTAATGAGGCCAACTCGCAACAGTTTTTGAGTGAATTAGTTGTTTGTATTTATGTATCCACATGTCGGTAGAATGGCTGAATAGGTGGGTAAGAGGATGAGAAAACGATATTTGGATTTTTGGTGAGTTAGTGTGAAGTATATACAACAAAAGGTGGGTGTAGTGTATATATGTAGTTTGGAGAGATTTAATATTCAGTTAGTTGAGTGATGGAGGAAATAGCAAGTGATAGTGAACCATGATCTGATTTTAGAATATACCATTGACCAACTCAGAAATAATGTTGGTATATCTATGCGATTCATTGTTCTGTGTTGTCTTTTATTTTCCAACAACTGTTCATTGTGGCATGTTGAAATCCAAATTGTAAACTGAACTCAAGCTAAGCTAGGTTAATACTGAAATAAACATTAGTTTCGAGCTGTCCTGAGAATATTCTGTAATCTAATTAGACATTAGATATAATTTCCTCTTCAGTTAAGTTCTGAGTGTTCAGATTTAGATATAATTTCCTCTTCAGTTAAATTCTGAGTGTTCAGATTTAGATATAATTTCCTCTTCAGTTAAATTCTGAGTGTTCAGATTTATCCGGATGGTTTACCTAGAATTTGTTTCTTTTTTATTCTTGTGAAGGGGTCACACTTGGTGAAGGCACAGGGGCAACTATGTCGGATGATGAGGAGGAGCTGCAGATGGATTTTACCTTAGACCAATTGGGAGCTAATGATAATGATCTCATGGGATTTGGTCCATTGTTCCCTACTGAATCAGAGAGGACTTTAATGGAAAGAGTGAGACAAGAACTCAAAATTGAGCTCAAACAGGTGAAAACCTTTTACTTTCCCTTTTT